AGCGTAAATTGTGCAACTTTAATACCATGTAGATAACACGCAAAAAAGTTTAGACTCACAAAGTATAAAGCAAAAGCAAACACATGTATAAAATGCTGACATATTCCAAACTGATAACTTAAAATGATGATGTCCTGAAGAAGCCAAGGTTTGGTGTTGAGCTGATGTCCAAGCCCTGGGTCAGATGGGGCCTCACTGGACCAGGAAGTGGCAGGGAGAGTGGGCCCTGCTCCAGCCATGAGAACCAATCACAGGCTCTCTTCAATAAAAGTCAGAAGATGTAGAAGATGTTTTTAGAAATGATACCTAGCTGGAACTTTTTATTTACTTGCTCTTTCTAGGGAGATGGTTCTGTTCTTGAAGATACAGATTCAGTTTTCATTTTCATTTCTTACAGCCATGCTGAAATAGAGCCTAAGATTCATTCCCATAAAACGTGTCCTTCAGGTTTTTGTTTGTTTTTGAGCATGAGAAAGTCCTGTAATATTTATGCAGAAGATTACAGTTGACTGTGATTCTTGGCTGTCTCTGGGCTGACTCAGATGCTTTTTTCCCTCCCGCTGGCTGATAGCTGCCAGCACAAGCAAGCTGTCAGTCAGAAAGCAACATTTGTGACGTGCCCATGGTGTGCAGAGCACCAAAGAGAACAAAAAGCAAAACAGAAGCTGAAGTGTTGCTTGTAATATACTTATAATACATTGAGCCAATCAGGACTAGTACACAGGATATATGATACACATACTGCATATTACATGCCACAGAAGCATATATATAATCATGTACTTGCAGGACAAGCCTGGGGAAAAATTGCCAAGTAGGCTTGTCTCTCAGTTATTCTAGGTTCCATTTTTTATTTTCCTTTCTTATTTCTAGGTGCTGCTTCACACAGTCAACAAATATTTATCAAATGCCACCTGTATGCAGCACCCTTGAGTAAGTGACAGATGCTTCCTTCCAGAGCTTCCTACCCAACCAGTACTTTCTGGGGGTATTGTCCTCATTCCAGAATCCACCCCCTACCCCCACCTCCAGCCCTCACCTCCAAATCCCCTCTACCAGCTCCAGGATCCTCTCTCCTTGGGGCACTTTTCTCAGCTAGCTGTAAAGAAATAAGTATTAATTTAAAAAAACAAAAACAAAAAAACACACAAAGTCACACTAAAGCATGACTAATGAGTTACAATTTAATATTTTAACTTTTGTAGCCCAAAGGAATGGATCTGTGATGGTATATAATTATAGAAGAAAAGGCAACTATATAAGGGGAGATGTATTTTGAAAGAAAATCTATAATGTTTCCTTTTTTAGGCAGCACTTTTTAGATCTGGACTTACAAAGCCAAAACTGCTGATGTTATTTCTTTCTTGGTCCTCAAGTGAGACAGAGGAGCCACCAGTTGGTATATTCCCCTTGACCTTAAAATACAAACAGCTAGACTTCCCAGAAACACAGTTATTGGAAGGTAGAAGAATAATTTGCTTTTCCTCCTTGGTGACGACTTTTCTAGAATATAGAACATAATTTTAAAACAGCCTCTCATTAACGAACAACTTTTAAATCGTTGCTGAAGTGACCCTAATTCAGCCCCTGAAGGTGTGTTGAATTAACTCATCCAGGTCACAAGGTCTGACTCCTGTGGTTTCTGTCTGGCTCACATAGATTTTGCAGGCCAGACCTTTTCTTTAATCCTTATCAATTAAGTCTCTACCTGTTTACCCTCAACCAGCTAAAAATTTCTGTTTGTCCTTCTAATATTCCTGCTTTTTGTTTTCAGGTCTACATCTGGAGGTATGAATAGAAAGAAAATAAAATTATACACCAACAGCATTGTACCATAGAGACAATTGTTTCTTCTTTAGAAAAAGTTCCCCAAACCCCTTCTCACCTCTTTCCATATTTGAGTTTTATGTTCTATCCTTTTCCCAACTTTCCAATTCAAAATATTAGAAATGACTTAGAATTTTCAAACTCAGTTTACTAGAAAACAGTTTTTAAAGGGGAATATGGTTATAAAACTGAGAAATAATGTCCTTTGTATCTCTTCAGTCTGAGGCAATCTACTCTGCAAACTTTAAAATGAGGTTTGTAATTATAACTGAGGTATTGTTTGGATGATTAAAGGGACATGCCAGGTAGTAGTAACATGGGACTTCCTTACAGAGGTATGAACCTAAAATGTTGTATTGAAAGAAAGAAATATGGCATAATTCAGCAGACGGACGAACACAGGGGCTTTGAAGTGTGGGAAATCATGTGTATAAATACTTAGAGATGAGAATTAATGAGTCATGTACTGAGAATAGAAAACTGGTTTCCTGACTTTATCTGGGAGTATGGTAGAAGATGAGAACTTCTGAGGAAAGGAGAACAAATCAGAAAAAGATCTTGGACGTTATGGCTGTGAAGTAAAGTTTGTAGAAGTGATTGAGACATAGAAATGTTTAACTATCTTGCTAGTTAACTCTGCATTTCTCAGACTTCCTAACCATTTCTCCCTATGAATATTGGCAAATTTTTCCGATATAAGTTTTGAACAAATGATCTGTTTATACCGCTAAATTCCTAAGTATGATACAGTGTTAGGCATCCCACAACCATATTTATGAGAAGTCAATACTACACAGTCAATACTGCAAACCAATTTCCATACTAAGGAGCCTCATATGGAAAAGAGCTAGGCATTTGCATGTCAGAAAATAAATTATTATGGCTTCTGAGAATATGCTAAACTAGGTATCCTGATGGAACTTCTTGCTGAAAATAACTAAAAATATAGAATAAAATATATATTAGAATTGTGTTAGTGCACTGATGTCCTAGAAAGTTAGTAAGAAATACTCCTGCTTCAAAAACAAAGTGAAGGCAAGAACCCTGAGGGATAAGCAGAAAGTGAAAGTCAGCATTCACCTTGAGGGCATCTGAAGCTTTAGTTTTTATGCCTTTGAGAAGGGAGGTGACAAAACCTGGGCCTGCCCAAGATGGCGACCATAATAGGAAACAAAATTCAGGTAGAATATGTTTACAAAAGATTCATCTGAAACTAAAGGATACAGAAAACTTCTAAGTAACAGGATACAAAAAGATTTATTAAGCAGATAGGAATCAAAAGAAACTAGTGGCACAGCTATGTAAATATCTGAAGGAACTGTACTTTACCATGGAAAGTATTACTAGATATAAGAGATTAACATTTGGTACTGACTAGTACAGGGTATAAAGGTCAGAAGAAAGTGAATTAACACCCCCTTTCAGAAAAGTAATCTGGTACTAACTATTCAAATGTTGGACTTTATGAAATATATATATGCTTCAGCCCAGCAAACCCACTTCTTTCATAATTCTTTTTAAGATTTTTTTGGGGAATTGGGGAAGGGAACAGTGTTGGGGAATTGGGGAAGGAGAATGTGGTGTTTTTCCAGGACCCATCAACTCCAAGTCAATTTGTTGTTCTTCAATCTTAGTTGTGGAGGGCGCAAGCTCAGCTCCAAGTCCAGTCACCATTTTTCCAATCTAGTTTCAGGGAGGTGCAGCTCACTATCCCATGAGGGAGTAGAACAAGCAACCTTGTTGTTAAGAGCATGTACTCTAACCAACTGAGCCACCCGGCCACCCGTCATAATTCTTTTCACCTTTTTTTCCTTTATGATTTGGAGACATGACTTTGATGAGATTAAGGTTTCAGGAAGCAGACAATATAATAAGTGATTGACTTAAAGTCTGTAAATGTAAAATTTGTAAACCATTATATGTTGAAATGAAACATAGTGACACATGGCTAAATGCAAGAAAGGTTAGGTCAATAATGAACATAAGTAAAGGGCTGTTGCAGAGTAAAACATGTGACCATTTTAAACAACCTTGTGATTGGTAGGCATTCATGTTCAAGTGGAAAACTAGCTCCTCTGACTATTGAGGGGTGTCCCGGTAGTTTGGGATAAACCCTTCCCCGACTCCAAAAACAAAACAAAAAACCCCAGGAACTTCCCTCACAAAATCAGGATCTCTTGCAGTAGTTCCTTGCCAGTTTTGTTTCTCTCTAACCTCCAACAGGCCCAATGACACAGCCAGAAATGAAATGCAGAAGTATGCACAGGAGGTAGGACAAATTCCCGTCATGGTGATAATTTGGACTCTTGAAGGCTGTGCCCATTCTCTCCCACACAAAGTCTAAAAGGGAGCAAGCCATTGGTGGGGGGTTCCCCTGACCTGCAAGGTTTCTCATTCTGAGAGGGCTGTGGAAATGACAGAATTCTCCCCGGAGCTCTGTGGGGAATCAGGGAGGCACAAAGAAGTCGTGTCTGTTCACTTCATTAGCTATTCATGATCTTGTATATAACTTGTTTGTTCATTTGGAGTAAAAGAAAGTAAAACTAACTTTAGTCAAGGTGTTGTTGATGTTGGGGGTCTGGCATCTAGCATAAAGGTTTTGAAATACCACACTAATAAGTACAATACATTTCTTTTTAAAAAAAATTTTTTTTATTGGGGAACAGTGTGTTTTTCCAGAACCCATCAGCTCCAAGTCAAGTAGTTGTTCCAATCTAGTTGTGGAGGGTGCAATTGGATTGAACCGGCAACCTTGGTGTTAGGAGCACTGCGCTCTAACCAGCTGAGCTAACCAGCCGCCCAATGCATTTCTTTTTTTTTTTTTTTTAATTTTTTTGGGGAATTGGGGGAGGGGAACAGACAAGATGCTGTCCTTTTGTTCTTCAGTCTAGTTGTGGAGGATGTCGCCTCACTGGCCCATGTTGGTATTATCATTGCACTCTCCCCGGATGAGGCAGATCAGTTGCCGGCCACTGGACGGCTGCTCACAGTGGCCCTTGGCAGCTCACGCTGGCTGCTGGCCACACATGGTAGCTTACAGCAGCCCACTGCAGCCCCACTGCAGCCTACACCATCATCGGTAACTCACAGCAGCCCACGTCCAGCGGCCTTAGCTGTAGAGGGCGCAGCGGCACTGGCCCTAATGTAGGATCCGAACTGGGGCCCTGCTGCTCAGAGCTGGCATCCCAAGCCAACCCCTAATCAACGTGCCACTCAGCCAGCCCACATTTCTTTTTAAAATACTTTGTTAAAACATTATTGATACATTCATTCTCATGTTCATGCTCATGAAATAATAAATTTGCTCCTTTCTGTACTCTATTTTTAAGAATCTGAGAAATTATAAATGTATTTAAGTAAGGAGCTAAAGAGAAGACCATTAAAAACTTGGAAATTTATGGTAGGCAAGTTACTGAACAAAAGAAAGAACTTTGCTTATTTATGGAGATATGGATGGCATAGTTCTACCAAAGCTCATACACATTTTACTGCTTAATTTACATATTATTTTGGTGGAAAAAAACAGTATTCTTTACTCTTTCAGTTTCTTTTTGCTAAAGTATGTATAATTATTATAGAGAGCTATCACTAAGGTGTTATATAGACCTTGGCAGGATTTTGATCAGGTCAAATCTGGAGTCAAAGATGCTTCAAAGATTCCAAGAAATGATTTGAAAACAAACTTAACAAAACATGCTTTGGGTCATGCTCATGGTTCATCCAAGCTGTATTCTGTCTCTGACTGAAAAAGGCCTGTAGGCCTTTATGCTATCACTCCAGAAGCAATTGTATAACACTTCCATGCCAACCCTGCCCCAACATCCCCAGCTTCCCTTAATAACCCAGATACATTAGTCATTTGTGCATTGATTCAAATCTTTCTAGAACTGATCTATACTTTCATGCTGATTCATATGTAGGAACATGAATTTATTAAATTTACTACCTGTATCTAGAGGGCTGTTTTCTTTATTCCAAGTGCCTTATTCAAACAATTAAGAGAAACATCTAAAAAAGCATTTCAGAGATCAAGAGGTTCCCTTAAAACATGAAGATATGCTAAAACTGGATTACAGTCTATGATGACATATTTAACTATTTACATTAAACCATGACTTAGCCCAAAATATACACAATATAATCTAATTCTGCAACTTACAAAAGATTTACTAAAAGTGCAAGTGTCTGGATTTAAGTGATGTGTCATCGGCTTTCTCTCCTGTGCCTTTGCGACTGCAGACTTTTCTTCATTTGGCGATGACTTAGAAAGGCTCTCCTTGAGGTTCTTCATGAAGGTGTGCATCCAACCAAGAGGCCTTCGGTAAACCCAGACACACAGTTCTTAATAATCTGAGGTTTGGTGATCAAGTCTCTGTAGTCCTGATTCTTATGCTTCACATTTGATTCGGATTTTCCATGAATGGTAAGAATTAAACAAGCTTATTCAGGCTGAGCTGAAGGAGGGGAGAGAGCAGGAAGATGGCAGGATGCAAATGAAAGATTTTTTTTAATGGATTGCTTATGTCTCCTTGGAAGTAAAACTGGCTAGGCAAGCGCCAGGATGCTCAGCAAGATTAAAAAGCAGCCAAGTTGCAAAAGAGTGGCATAAAAACGCGAGGCAATGTAGCTCATCTGTGTTGTGGCTAAATTATTACAGCTATATCTATATGTCTATATCTGTATCTCCACATATCTCCATTATTCAGAAAGTTTACTTTTAAATAGGCTATCAAATTGGCCTATTCCTACACCCAGAATCATACATCAGTCAGCTAGAGACCATAGCTTACAGTAGGAAACTGCACTGAATGACTCGTTGAGGCTTCTTCCTGGTTAGACAAAATATCTGTAACTCTGGCTTAAGCTTTGCCAATTTCATGCAAACGTGACCCGCAGCTGGTATACTCTTTCTTTTGACCATTTAAATCTTAACCAGTAGCCAAGTCCTCAGAGTAGGAAGATTGTTCTCCAGCCACTTAATATTTTTGGATATGGTTTCCAGAACAATTTGAAAAACATCCAGATGTGATCCTTGGGCCTTAAGAGGTTCAAAGAACAGTTGCACCTGAAAAATAAGCAAGAAAAAAATTATTGACTTGGTTCATAAAACAGTTTCTTTTCCGAAGGGCTCCGAAACAGCTCCTAAATTATACAAACACAAGTGCAAGCTTTTCTCTGCCAACCTCCAAAAGGTTGTTTCCTTCTTTTTTTTTTTTTTTGCATAGTCATCACTTTATCTTCAAACAATAAATAAAGACAGGAATGATAAATCCTTATCTTACAAGCGAGTACACTGTGGGTAAAGAAGTTGTGATTAAACCAAGTCACAGAGCAAATTGCGAGCCAGATTTAAGTTCTAGAATTCCAAATTTGCTTCAAGAGTAAATAAATTCAAGATTTATTGTGGAAAGAAAATAAAAAGAAAGTAGAATTACCAATAACAGCAGTTTTGTTAAAATCTTTAAAGAGTCTTCCAAACTTCAATATAGTCACTCATGATGATACAATGTGAACAAAATAACACAAAAGGACTCATCTCTCAAAGGTAATTTTCATTTTGAATGCTATGAACACGTATTTTAACAGGTTTGAGTCCTTTGCCTTCCGTTTACCTGCTATGCGACATTGAAAAAACAACTAATCTTCTTTTAGTAAAATGAGAACTTCAAACCAGGTCACATCTAAGTTTATTTTCAATTCTACCGCTTGAACGTTTATTTTTAAATTGTTAGCAATAGAGAATCACAAACCTCTTGCAACTCATCCTCGGAAGAAAAGTGAGATGTTGTTCCAGAGATGATGAGTCTAATGTCAAATGAGCTCAAATCAAATCTGAAAATAAAAAGGAACCCCACAGATTTAAGTAATAGAAATACTGGCCTTATGCTTATTATACCATATATATATTTTAAATGTATAACATTAATAACTATATGATAAGCTTGTGCATTATAATACAGTATTAATTACCATAATAATAACAATTCATAAACATCCAATAAAATTCCAAAGCTATGAAGTTTATCAAATTTGACTATAAGATAAAAATGTAGATAAAGTTGTTTAAGGAAATATGGCTACCTTATTCAGCAACACTTATATTTAAATTTATGTTTATGTTTAAAGCAGCATTCTCTACATTTTTTTGATTATGTACTTCATGAGTAAGATTTTTTTGATCAACATCTTCCCAAAATACATTTTTTGATTTATGAATGATGTATGTACTCTGTTATAGGTAAAAAAGAAAATTTAAATAGCATAAGGTAAGAAATAATATATGTGGTAATATTTCCTTCTTGCACTCTAATGTACTGTCTTGCATGCTTCCCCATCCTACTTTGGACACTACTGTGTTTAAACATTGTATTTATTAGGGCAAGGTTACTTGGTTGAACTGTCATTCACAGCCACAGACTGCATCCTTCACCGCAGTCTCTTATATAAAGAATTTGCTGGGGGCCAGCCGAGTGGAGCATTGGTTAAGAGCTGGCTTGGGATGCCAGAGGGCCCCAGTTGGGATCTCACATATGAGGGCCAGTGACACTGCTCTCTACAGCTAAGATGCTGAACAACAGCTCAACCTAGAGCTGGGCTGCCGAGTCGCTGGCCACGCGTAGGCTGCAGCCCCTGCTGCAGTGGTGGCCATGGGCTACCGTGTGTAGCCAGCAGCTAGCATGAGCAGCCAGCA